AAAGGGTGACTGCAGCAGGGTGGGCAGAAGGGGAAAGAGCAGGAGGCAAGGTCAGAAGGAGAACAGGGGCATCTTGTGTAGAGCCTTTTATCCAGAGTGAGACATGATTCCACAGGAGGCTTTGAGAATTCGGGTGACGTGATGTAACATGTGATATGACAGTTTGACTCGGAATTGTGTTGAGATTGATTTAAGTCTCAAGGATGGTAATGTATGTGAGAGATTATGGGATGTTAGGAGTGAAGGTGATGAGAGGTCAGATTCTCAATGTATCTGGAAGGTCAAGTGATAGGATAAGTTCAGTGATGGATCGTATGTGGGGTGAGAGCAAAAAAATGAAGAATCAGTGATGATGAAAATGCTTTTAACCCAAGTAAGAATGGGGTTGCCAATGACAAAGAAAGCTGGAAGTAGTAGGTTTGGGAAAGATTAGTACTTTAGTTGTTGTTTTCTTTTACTGTGATAAAACATACTCATGTAATTTAAGTGTACAATTCAGTGTCATTAAGTACACTCACAATTTGTGCAGTCCTTACCACTATCTATAAAACCTTTCCTAAACCCAAAGTAAAACTCTGTACTCATTTAATAATAAAGCCTCATTCTGCACCCCACCCTCAGCTCTGGTAACCCCCAATCTACTTTCTGCCTCTATGAATTGCCATTTCTAGATATCTCATATAAGTGGAATCCTACAGTATTTGTCTTTTTGTGTCTGGCTTCTTTCACTTAGCATAATGTTTTCAAGAGTCATCTATCTGACAACATGTATCACAACTTTACTCCTTTTTGTGGCTGAATAATAATATTTCATTATATAGCACCTTTTGTTTAATCGTTCATCTGTTGATGGACATTGGGTTATTTTCACCTTTTGGCTACCGTGATTAATGCTCCTATGAAAATTCACCTACAAGTATCTGAGCCCCTATTTCCAATTCTTTTTGGTATATATCTGGGAGTGATATTACTGATCACATAGTACTTATGTGTTTAACTTTTTGAGGAACTTCCAAACTGTTTTCCACATTGGCTGCATTATTTTGCATTTTCAACTTTTCCATATTTTCATCTAACATTCTTCTAACTTTTCCATATTTTCATCTATGCTTGTCATTTTCCATTTTGTTTATTTTCATTTTTTTAATAGCCATCCTGGTAGGTATTAAGTTTTATCTCACTGAGGTACACTTAAATTTTGGTTTGAATTTCCCTAATGACTAGTGGTGTATAGCATCTTTTTGTTGTGCTTATTGGCCATTTGCTTATCTTCTTTGGGGAAATGTCTATTTAAGTCATTTGCTCACTTTTTAAATGGGTTTTGGTCCTTTTTGTTGAGTTGTATGGGTTTTCTATATCTTCTGGATATTAGTGTTTTATCAGATAAATGGTTGACAAATGTTTTTTTTACCATTCTGTGTTTTTTTTTTTCACTCTCCTGATATTGTTCCTTGATATACAAAATATTTAATTTTGATGCAGTCCAATTTATCTTTTTCTTTTTCTTTTTCTTTTTTTTTTTTTTTTTTGCTTGTGTTTTTGGTGCTATATTCTTTGAAGAGTTTTGCAGTTTTAGCTTTAAAATTTAGGTCTTTGATTTATTTTGAGTTAATTTATGTATGTGTTGTAAGATAAAGGTCCAACTTTATTTTGCATGTGGATATTCCGTTTTCTCAGAGCCATTTGTTGAAGAGACTGTTTCTTAATCATTGAATGGTCCTGGAAACCTTGTTGAAAATCAATTAACTGTGGATGTAAAAGTTTATTTGTGGACTCTCAATTCTATTCCATTGGTCCATACTCATATGTCTATCTCTTTGCCTATACCATACAGTTTTGATTACCATAGCTTTTTAGTAAGTTTTGAAATTGGGAATTGTGCATCCTCCGTTCCATTGGTCCATACTCATATGTCTATCTCTTTGCCTATAACATACAGTTTTGATTACCATAGCTTTTTAGTAAGTTTTGAAATTGGGAATTGTGCATCCTCCAGCTTTGTTGTTCTAGTTCAAGATTGTTTTCACTATTCAGGATTCCTTGGGGTTTCATATGAATTTTAGGATAGATGTTTCCATTCCTGAAAGAAAAAAAAAAGTGCCATTGAGATTTTGATAGGGATGGCATTTAATCTATAGATTGCTTTGGGCAGTATTGTCATCTTAACAGTATTAATAATTTTTCCAGTGCATAAACACAGGATGTCTTTTACTCGGGTTTTCTTTAATTTCTTTCAAAAACATTTTTCTATTTTCCATGTATAAATCTTGTACCTCCTTGATTAAATTTATTACTAAGTATGTTATTCTTTTTAATGCTATTATAAATGGAATTGTTTTTTTAATTTTCTTTTCAGATTGTTCATTACTAGTTTATAAAAATGCAGTTGATTTTTGTGTGTTGATTTTGTATTTTGTAACTGTTGAATTTGTTTATCAGTTCTAACAGGTTTTTTCTGAATTCTTTAGGGTTTTCTGCATTTAAAATCATCTCATCTGTGAATGTAGTTTTACTACTTTCTCAATTTNTCTTTTTTTTTTTCTTTTTCTTTTTTTTTTTTTTTTTTGCTTGTGTTTTTGGTGCTATATTCTTTGAAGAGTTTTGCAGTTTTAGCTTTAAAATTTAGGTCTTTGATTTATTTTGAGTTAATTTATGTATGTGTTGTAAGATAAAGGTCCAACTTTATTTTGCATGTGGATATTCCGTTTTCTCAGAGCCATTTGTTGAAGAGACTGTTTCTTAATCATTGAATGGTCCTGGAAACCTTGTTGAAAATCAATTAACTGTGGATGTAAAAGTTTATTTGTGGACTCTCAATTCTATTCCATTGGTCCATACTCATATGTCTATCTCTTTGCCTATACCATACAGTTTTGATTACCATAGCTTTTTAGTAAGTTTTGAAATTGGGAATTGTGCATCCTCCAGCTTTGTTGTTCTAGTTCAAGATTGTTTTCACTATTCAGGATTCCTTGGGGTTTCATATGAATTTTAGGATAGATGTTTCCATTCCTGAAAGAAAAAAAAAGTGCCATTGAGATTTTGATAGGGATGGCATTTAATCTATAGATTGCTTTGGGCAGTATTGTCATCTTAACAGTATTAATAATTTTTCCAGTGCATAAACACAGGATGTCTTTTACTCGGGTTTTCTTTAATTTCTTTCAAAAACATTTTTCTATTTTCCATGTATAAATCTTGTACCTCCTTGATTAAATTTATTACTAAGTATGTTATTCTTTTTAATGCTATTATAAATGGAATTGTTTTTTTAATTTTCTTTTCAGATTGTTCATTACTAGTTTATAAAAATGCAGTTGATTTTTGTGTGTTGATTTTGTATTTTGTAACTGTTGAATTTGTTTATCAGTTCTAACAGGTTTTTTCTGAATTCTTTAGGGTTTTCTGCATTTAAAATCATCTCATCTGTGAATGTAGTTTTACTACTTTCTCAATTTGGATGCCATTTATTTATTTTTTTTCTTGCCTAATTTCCTGGCTAGACAAGTAGTTTTGTTTTGGGCATGTTCAATTCAAGATTCTTATTAGACCTCCAAGTGGAGATGTCAGGTAGACATTTGATTCTGGTCAGGGAATAGATCTGTGCTAGAGATATGAAATTGATAATTGTCAGCATGTAACCAGTATTTAAAGTCACAAGCCTGAGGATCGCATAGGGAGTAAATATAAGTAAAGAAGAGAAGCAGTCCAAGGGCGAAGTCATGAAGAAGAATCCTCACATTGTGGAAGTCAAACAGTAGGCAAGACAGTTTCCTTTTCCCTTTCCCCTGGACCTCTTGGTCCTAGAGATGGATACTTCCCACAAATGGAACCCTACAGGCTTCTTTTGGATGATTCTGCAGAACCATTTGGGGCTGGTCACGTCACAGGGCCTGTGTAGTTTCCATTCAAGGATGACATTGACAAGCAGGATTAGTTTTCAATCAGAATCTTTTTTGATGATTAGAGATACGCATGTACAGGCTTGGCTCTAGAATTAACCCAGTTAGTTGTTCCACCTTTGTTATCAGAAACAGGCAAGAGATAACAGTACAATATTCTGGAGGGATAACTAGAAAGACAGGGAAGCAATCATCTGTTAGCTTATCTATCACNGAGTGTGCAATGTTAGTGGTTATGTAGTGCAGGTGGTTGCATTTGAAGTGTCTTACATGAATTACAAAAGTACATGAATAATGTGAATGCATTTCTGTTTTTAAGAAGCAAATACACACATACTCATTCCCTTAGAATGAGCATTTGGCTAAATATATAAGGATACTTCAAAATGTGATAGGAAAAATAGAATTAAAAGATAATATGAATATTACCAAATTGTTAAACCATAGCCATTTCTGGTTGGTAGAATTATAAGGAATTCATATTTCTAATTATATATTTTCATATCATTTAAATTTTTTTGCAGTCAGTGTGCATTTCTTATGTAAGTAAAGTATTTAAAATCTTATATTTAAAGCAATATTTACAATTACAGTTAATAGCCAATGCCAACACAACAAATAAGTTCTATTAGCTATGCCTCTGTGCGCAAGGGATTTGCTTGACCCCTGCAACAGGAGCATAGCATAATTGTGCACACATGTCTGAAATGAGAATAGGGTTGCCTACAAACCTTACAGATGTGGTTGTTGAATCTGCACATACACTGTTCTTACCCTTCTTACTTTGAAGTCTGTGAAGTCATTGACACATTAGGGAATCCCCTAGCTCACTGGTAGGACTGACTTCTGGAGGGAAATATTTTTTGTTCTTCTCCCTCATGTCTGGATTATTTTGGATTGGTTTTGAGATAGTATCTGAATTTTTGTCTGTTGGGCTGTTTATTCCAGGAATATAAAGTTTTATTCTTTGACATATGCTTAAATGTTTATTTTGAAGTGATGTAACTTTTTAGAAAACTTATTAAAGTTTATTTCCATGGGAAAAATATTTTTTATATTTTTGACTGTTTTTTGTTCCTTCTCTTTTGAAATCTCTAGCCAACGAGAACATTAGTCATGACAAGCATGCCATCTGAGTAAGTACTCATTGTTTTGATAACTTTCTATTCAATGTAAAATTTTAACTTTTTCTCTCATATACTGTAATTATGTATGTTTTTAGACAGTTGATTCATCTGTACCATATCACTTTTATATAATTAATATCCAAGTTAGAAAAACATTGAAAATAAAAAATGTAACTAAATATGAACAATTTAGTGCTGAAAACTTTTGGGGCTTGTTTCGAAAGCAACCAGAGGTTTTGCACTCTCTGTGCTACTCATCTTGCTTGTTTCCAATACCTAATGGCTCTGTTTGTCCACCACCCCCACCCTATGAATATTCAGTAAATGTAGCAACACTAGCCAAAACATTTCTCTTAAAGATCTTAAATGCTATGGTAGAAAGCTTTCTACAGCTGTATTAAAGCAGCTATCTACACATTTTATGGAAGGGTTAATAGCTTGTTGGCATGCTCTTATCGTCTTCCTTAGCATTAACACAGTAAGGAACATCCAACAAAAATACAGTGCTATACTCTTTGCAACAGATTTTTGAATTCCTGTTTGAAGGGGAAAACCATGTTTTTTATATCAGTCATAGGTTTTAAGATTTTAAGACATTCATCAAAATAATGAAACATTTCAATGAAAAATGTGCTGCATAAAGAGTGTATATATAGAACATTCTCTATAGTGGCATCCCTTTCCTGCCCATGGCATGAAATAAAAGTACTAATAATTCAAACATCATGTATTATTCAGTGAAAAAGGAGGTCACTCAAAATTTTTGTAAATGTGTTATGAAATATATTGAACATTCTAGTCTAATACAGAAACGAACACTGAAAATGGATGTAATATTTTTTAAAGTCTATATTTTTCCCCAAAATAAAAAAGAAATTACTGGTTTATTTCTCATTATAGCTGGTTATTTTCTCATTAAAGTGTTTAATAAGAAAACTTTTCATTTAGGCCATATTCTCATCTTATTCTTTTTTCCCCACACAGACTTCTTGTGTAACTTATGAACAGGGCATTCTGATTCCATATTGATTAACCTTGAAAAGACATTTGTTCCTTATTAGCACATCCAGCAAATAGCTGGCAGCTGCCAGACTTGGAATGGAGAAAATCAGATATTCAGAAATGAAGAGTTTTAGGGAGCATCTAGTTTAGAGGCTTTTATTTCTTTTTGCTTTTTTTTTTTTTTTTTTTTGGNGATGATTAGAGATACGCATGTACAGGCTTGGCTCTAGAATTAACCCAGTTAGTTGTTCCACTTTTGGTATCAGAAACGGGCAAGAGATAACAGTAGAATATTCTGGAGGGATAACTAGAAAGACAGGGAAGCAATCATCTGTTAGCTTATCTATCACTCCTCCTAGTACTTCCTGTGCATGCCCTTTGAATTCATATTACCTCTTCATTATTCCTTCTCCACCTTCCCTAGATATATTAATATAGTACACAGGCCCCTCAAGTCTTACTTTGCCATTCAGGGGTCCTTTGAATGCCTTTTGTCCCCCTTCTCATTTACTTCCCCTTGACCATTGAGGACATGCATGAGTGTGCAATGTTAGTGGTTATGTAGTGCAGGTGGTTGCATTTGAAGTGTCTTACATGAATTACAAAAGTACATGAATAATGTGAATGCATTTCTGTTTTTAAGAAGCAAATACACACATACTCATTCCCTTAGAATGAGCATTTGGCTAAATATATAAGGATACTTCAAAATGTGATAGGAAAAATAGAATTAAAAGATAATATGAATATTACCAAATTGTTAAACCATAGCCATTTCTGGTTGGTAGAATTATAAGGAATTCATATTTCTAATTATATATTTTCATATCATTTAAATTTTTTTGCAGTCAGTGTGCATTTCTTATGTAAGTAAAGTATTTAAAATCTTATATTTAAAGCAATATTTACAATTACAGTTAATAGCCAATGCCAACACAACAGATAAGTTCTATTAGCTATGCCTCTGTGCGCAAGGGATTTGCTTGACCCCTGCAACAGGAGCATAGCATAATTGTGCACACATGTCTGAAATGAGAATAGGGTTGCCTACAAACCTTACAGATGTGGTTGTTGAATCTGCACATACACTGTTCTTACCCTTCTTACTTTGAAGTCTGTGAAGTCATTGACACATTAGGGAATCCCCTAGCTCACTGGTAGGACTGACTTCTGGAGGGAAATATTTTTTGTTCTTCTCCCTCATGTCTGGATTATTTTGGATTGGTTTTGAGATAGTATCTGAATTTTTGTCTGTTGGGCTGTTTATTCCAGGAATATAAAGTTTTATTCTTTGACATATGCTTAAATGTTTATTTTGAAGTGATGTAACTTTTTAGAAAACTTATTAAAGTTTATTTCCATGGGAAAAATATTTTTTATATTTTTGACTGTCAAAACATTTCTCTTAAAGATCTTAAATGCTATGGTAGAAAGCTTTCTACAGCTGTATTAAAGCAGCTATCTACACATTTTATGGAAGGGTTAATAGCTTGTTGGCATGCTCTTATCGTCTTCCTTAGCATTAACACAGTAAGGAACATCCAACAAAAATACAGTGCTATACTCTTTGCAACAGATTTTTGAATTCCTGTTTGAAGGGGAAAACCATGTTTTTTATATCAGTCATAGGTTTTAAGATTTTAAGACATTCATCAAAATAATGAAACATTTCAATGAAAAATGTGCTGCATAAAGAGTGTATATATAGAACATTCTCTATAGTGGCATCCCTTTCCTGCCCATGGCATGAAATAAAAGTACTAATAATTCAAACATCATGTATTATTCAGTGAAAAAGGAGGTCACTCAAAATTTTTGTAAATGTGTTATGAAATATATTGAACATTCTAGTCTAATACAGAAACGAACACTGAAAATGGATGTAATATTTTTTAAAGTCTATATTTTTCCCCAAAATAAAAAAGAAATTACTGGTTTATTTCTCATTATAGCTGGTTATTTTCTCATTAAAGTGTTTAATAAGAAAACTTTTCATTTAGGCCATATTCTCATCTTATTCTTTTTTCCCCACACAGACTTCTTGTGTAACTTATGAACAGGGCATTCTGATTCCATATTGATTAACCTTGAAAAGACATTTGTTCCTTATTAGCACATCCAGCAAATAGCTGGCAGCTGCCAGACTTGGAATGGAGAAAATCAGATATTCAGAAATGAAGAGTTTTAGGGAGCATCTAGTTTAGAGGCTTTTATTTCTTTTTGCTTTTTTTTTTTTTTTTTTTGAGTAATAAACTTTATTTTTATAGCATTTTTAGGTTTACAGAAAAATTGAGAAAGAAAAATTGTGTACAGACAGTTTACACCCCCTTCCCCCTACACAGATTCTCTTGTTACTAACATCTTGCATTAGCATGGTACCTTTTTACTTTTGTTTTTGCTTTCTTTTGGTTTGCCTTTATTTTTTTCCTACATTTAATATTTTTCACGACCGACCTCAGTAAGTGCAGATTCTCTGGCTTAGGGATCTTCTTCTCTACCTTAGGGATCTCTGAGATTTAAAACTGTGATATAGTTTCGTTTTCCCAGTAAAGAAACCGAGGTCTTGAGATGGACATGCCCAAGATCACTGGAGATAGTCTGTATAAGCATGGACAATAATAGGCTCTTTCCCTCTGTAATATAGTTTTTGGAGAGGAGAGACATTTATTTTTTAACTCATTGAGTATATTATAGTGGGGCTTAGAAAGCCATTGATATCCTTTGCATTTCATTGGGGATTTCCAAAACTTGCTGGGAGAAAAAGGAGAGAAGCTGTGTAACAGAACTAAAGGCATTACAAAGGCTGTTGTAAAAAAGAGGGAAGAATTGAGTGTTATTTAGTTAGGAAGTTAGATAGAAAAGGTGTTAAGCCTCTGGCAAATATGCGCTAAGATCTGATCTGACGATTTAGTAAAAAAGGTCTTTTTCCCCTCTTAGAAAAACTATGTGTTTGACACTCAGTAAGTGTTCTCTTTTTAGAATAAAATGAGTGAGAGTCTTGGTTCTGATCGTGCCAAATAGGTTCAGATAGGTCTGATAAGTAAATAACTGGTACAGTGGTAAGAGTGTTCAGGCTGATGTCAGGGGGTCTGGTTTCTGATGCCTTCTCTGTCTCTAGCCAGCCAGTGACCTTTACAGAGTCTCTGGGCCTGTTTTCTCAGGCATTGAAATAAACAAGAGTTGAGATCTGAAGTTTTTTTTTAATTTCCCTACATTTCAAGGCATTGATTGTAAAGAAATTAAGACACGAGCACCAGACACAAAATCAATTATTTTCTATTTTATTATTATTATTTGGTGTAATCACTTTAACATGTATATGCAGCAAACATGTTCATTTTGTTGATTTCTTTCCCTTTTTGATAGAAAGCAGAATGTCATCATCCAGGTCATGAATAAATTGAAAGGCTTTTCATTTGCAAGCGAAGTCTGTGACACTACCACTCATGTGCTAGCTGGGAAGCCGCTTCGCACCCTGAATGTGCTGCTGGGAATTGCCCGTGGCTGCTGGGTCCTTTCTTATGAATGGGTAAGCCCTGTGCTTGAATTACGTATTTTAAAAACAGAACACATTTTGATGGATTTGGTCACCCGAGGTGATGACACTGACTATGCCGATGTACGCCCTTGTGGATCTGCATGTGCTCCTATGAGCTCCTCTCCCTTTGCTGACCCCTTTCAGCCAGTGCTAAGCCCTCTGAGAATCAGAGAATGGGGAGGGTGGAGAACAGGATGAGTAGCCCTCAAGGTGAAGACCTCTCAGCCACTAGCAGAAATAAAATCAGAAAGTCTTGGAATGAAAACACCAAATGCAAATAATGTGACCTATGCTAGTGATGGTTTGAAAAGCCAGAATAATTCAATGATTATTTTTACAGATGGATTTACTTAGGATGAAATGTTCATTTAATATGATTTGGATATATTTTAGCTTATACATATCCTTCTGTAACATTATTTGCCCTTATTTCTGTTCATTAAGGGCAGTTTTTAAAATATATATTATTGTTTTCATTATTCATAAAAATTGGAATTGTCTATTATTCGTTCTGTTTTTACTTTGATCCTCAACCAAAGCTCACTCCAAAGCATTGCTTTTTATGAGAATAGCATCATTTGTTACTTGTGTTACTGTTTTGCATCTGTTGAGTATCTATCCTCCCTTCTCCTCCCCCAAGAATGTATTATATTAATACTGTGTTAATTTAAACCAGAAGAATTATATGCAAACAAACTACAGATGTATTTTTAAGAATGGCCTTAGTCTTTTTCCTGTGTCATAACTTAACTTGTAGCTCTCTGTTACAAGAGGTTTAAGAGATTATTGCTTAAAGTCATGAAGTGAAAAAGATTGAAGTTCCCAAAAAAAGTACTATTTGCATTGTTGACAATTGGGGATTACCTTATCTAATACTAGTACTGCTTCATGTTTATTTGTATGAAATATAATGTATAACTCTAGCTTCATTGAATGAATTCTGTTTTCTTTCTCTCTCATTGAAAATGTCTTCTGTATCTTCAGCTCTTCCTTCTCTCAAGTTTCAGAGGAAAAGATGTCTCTTATTTTTTAAAAAGATATATATCTGTGCTTGATTCTGTACCCAACCTTTTCTTCTGAGGCTTTGAGCAGTCCAGAGGGGTCAGACCTGAGAATTGACTGCATTTACTGTTGACATGTGTAAAGACCTACTCCCTAGTTGCCTACATGTCTCTGCTCAGTGTCCTGCTAATATTCTCCCACTAATCATACATAGAAATAGAACCAGATACAAGTTTAGATTACAGTAACCCGATGTGGGGTTAACTGATATGAGAAAGGCAGGCAATAAAACACATTATTCAATAAACTAGTTCAGGCTAGACTCCTTGCCCAGAGTCTCGGCACTCAGTCACATAATGAATGAACAAAGTATAAATACAGTAGGTAAGAAAAAGTAATAAAAAGCATTTAGTTTAGAAAAGAAACAAAAATACCTTGATTGTCTGTGTACACACTCGCTAGAAATCTACAAGTAAAAAAAAGCTCCTAAAGCTAATAACTGAATTTAACAAGTTGTCAGGATATAAGGATACAGTGATACAAGGTCAATATTGAAATAATTAAGTATAAATCTAATAAAATATGTGCAGGATCTATATGCTGAAAACTACAAACGCTGATTTTAAAAATCAAAGAACTAAATATATAGAGACATACTGTATTCATGGATTGAAAGACTCAATATAGTTAAAATGTCACTGTTCCCCAAAACAACCTATAGATTTGATGCATTCCCAATCATAGTTTCAGCATAATCTTTGAGGATATGGATACGCTGATTCTAAAAGTTATATGGAGAGGTCAGTGGATCGGTATAGCCAAAACATGTTTTAAAGAGAATAAAGTAGGAGGACTGGCACTACCTAATTTTAACGGCATCCTTTTCCACTACAGTAATCAATGCAATTGGTATTGGTAGACAAAGTGGAACAGAATGGAGAATCTGGAAATAGTTCCATACAAATATGGCCCATTGGTTTTGACAAAGGCAATTAAGTGGAGAAATTAAGTCATTTCAACAAATTCAGCAAATTTCAAGAAATTCAGTCTTTTCAACAAATGCTGCTGTGGAACAGTTAGACATCCACAAGCAAAAAAAGGAAGCTTAACTTAATACCTCACACAGGATACAAAAATTACCTCAAAATGGATCACAAGCTAAAGTGTAAAGTTATAAAATTCTTAGAAGTAAACATAGGAGAAAAATCTTCATGACCTTGGTTTAGACAAAAAGTTCTTGGATATAACACCAAAAGTATGATTTTAACAGAAAAAATTGAAAAATTAGACTGAATCAAAATTGAAAACTTTTACTCTGTGAAGGACATTTTGAAGTGACTAATAAAAAAAGTATTCGCAAATCTCATATCTGACAAAGGACTTACATCCAGAATTTATAAAGAACTTTCAAATCTCAACAATAAGAAAACAAACCCAAACAAAAATTGGCAAAAAAAAAAAAAAAAATTTGACACTTTACCAAAGATATAGAGACGTTTCAAATCTCAACAATAAGAAAACAAACCCAAACAAAAATTGGCAAAAAAAAAAAAAAAAAATTTAACAGACACTTTACCAAAGATATAGAGACGGCAAGTAAGCACATGAAAAGATGCTCAACGTCATTAGTCATTAAAGAAATGCAATTTAAAACGACAGTGAGATACTACTACATATCTATTACAGTGGACAATAAAAAATACTAGTTATCCTCTAGCAAGGATGCAGGGCAACTGGAACTCTCATATGTTGCTGGTGGGAGTGGAAAATGGTACACACACTCTGAAAAAGTTTTATATAAAGTTAAATGTACACTTACCATCTCTCTCAGAAATCTCACTCCCAGATATTTGCCCTAGAGGAGTGAAAGTTTATGTTCACACAAAAACCAGTACACAAATATTTGTAGCAGCTTTACTTTACAATCACCCAAACCTAGAAATAAACACAAGTGTTCCTCAGTGGGTTAATGGATGAACAAACTGGTCTGTCCATGCGATGGAACACTCCTCAGTAGTAAAAAGGAATGATACAGGCAACAATTTCAATGACACTCTATTGCATTATGCTGATTGTAACAAGCCAGTCTCAGAAGGCTATGTGACCCATTTACATGTCATTCTGGAAAAGGCAAAACTGTGGGGAAGGAGAACAGATGAGTGGTTTCCAGAAGTTGAAGGTGGGAGTAGGGTCTGACTGCAAATGGGTAGCACCTGAGATGTCTTTGGGGTGTTGGAACTGTACTGTGTTCTGTTAGTGGTCATGGTTACAAGAATCTATGCATGTCTTAAAATGCAGAGGACCATACTAACACACACACATACGTGCAAGTAAATCTGTTTGTAATTTTTATTTAAGAAGTACATGTAATGTGGCTTTCTGAATTAAGATGTTTGAGCACTCCTACTCCTGATATTGCCAGTTTATCACCTTGGTTTTAGAAGCATTTCCTTCCACATGCCAAGTTTTACATTTTTATATTTCTCTTTTATCTTCAACTTCTGCATCTGTTCTAGATGCTTCCTATCAGCATTTAAGCGTAATCTCTTCTATCTTAAAAATGAAAAAAAAAAATTTAAAAATAACTTTTCCTGGATTTCTCTTTGTCTTTTGTGCTACCTTTTTCCTCTCTTTAATTGCAAAACTTCCTAAATACTTGTCTGTACTTGTCTGTACTTCCTGGCTTCCCATTCTTTCTTCAGCACATTCTGTCTGGCTACAACTTACCCCAGTACACTGAAACTATTCTGAAGATCAGCAATATCCTTTGCATAGTTTATTAATTGTGCAATATTTTACATACAGAGAGAATTCATAAAAGCATGAAGTTTAATAAATTATAAAGCCAGCACCATATGACTACCACTTAAACCAAGAAAAGGACCATCACCAATACTCTGGAAGCCCCTTGTATACCCTCTTTTCTATTCCCTTTCAGGAACTCACTGTTTTGACTTTTATGGTAATCAACCCCTTATTTTTCCTTACAGAGTTAGCATTTGAAAAATACAGCTGAGTTTAGCCTGGTTTTTTTTTTTTCTTTGCATTTTTTAAAAATAGAATCATACAGAATTGTGTTGGAATGAACAGAATTACCAAAAAGTGGCCCTGCTTGCTTCCTGTGGGCTGCCTATCAGTAAACCAGGTATGTTAGGGTAGAGGGTCCTCTTCACCCTTAGGAAGGCCGCCCCAAGCTCAGCTCCCACCAGACCCTCCCCCTTCTCCTTACGGGACCTCAGGCCTCTAGGTTCAGGCTGTTGGCATTCCTAGAATGATCTTATAAAGTTGGCACTCCAGATCCAGACTGTGAGATGTCAGCTAAGTATCTTCCCTCCCAATTGACAGGGTGACTTTGCTTGTGCATGAGGAGGGAGAGGGCTGGGAGAGCCTTTTCCTGAGAGGCTCTTTCTCTCTTTCCTTTGTTGACTTTTTCTCCTCCACCACTTTCAGATGTTGGGCTGTGTGCTTGTCCACAGGCCCCTGTTCTTATTTATACTCTTCCTTTGTGGCCCCACAGGCTTCAGGTTTCTCACACCCAGTATGTAAGAAGCCAAGCTGGTGGGGACACTCACTGGTATACGTAATCCAGGAGTATGGGGTTGCAGATGAATTAAGGCATCTGTGTTCCTTATAAAGACATTCAATTACTACAAGAAGGCAAAACCATATCAGTCTAAAGTCCTACCACATAGTCTTCTAGATTGAAATTCTAAATCCATGGCTTTAAATACCATTTATGTATTGATGATTTGCACACTCAATCATCCTGGACCACTCTTCTGATCTGTAGACCCTTACGTCCATCTGCTGACTTGTTCCTTGTATGTATTTCCAGGTGTGAGGTCTAGTACACCTGGGTTGTGTGGAATCTCTGGTCTGGGCCTGAGTCTTTTCAGCAAACTGCATCCCTTGCAGTTCTGTATTCCTGACCAGTCTCCACTGAGTGGTCCTGTGCTGATTGGAGGGCAGATCAGCTGTCCAGGCTATGC